ACCTCCTCCAGACCGTGAGATAATCAAGCTGTATATATCCGGCATTATGGTTAATATTTTTAAACGACAGACGCATGAGAATCGAGAAGATGAGCATCAAGAGGGAGAGGATCGGGAACGGTATCCGGCTCCAGATGAGAGAACTCGACTTCTCCCACGCGAGACCGAGCGGTACTTGAGTCCTGATGACCCTGCTGTATGTTCACGAGCTCCTGGATTTTTATTTATGTACTGCGATTGAAATTAATTCGTACTTTAGGTCTCTCCTTACAACCTCTGGAGCGTTCGAGCTCTACGGGGTCTCACCTCTACTTTCCTCGCCGTCAGCTTCGTCTGGTGGACATTCCTGCTTGTATCCCTCTTCGTCAGTGCACCGGCTTTACACACTCGCGGATCCGGTTTCTTCGCCTTTGCCTACACTACGTTAACCGTTGGATACCTTTTATTCGGGCTTATCTTCTTTGCCGTCCCCTCGAAGCCGATGACAGTATGGGGACTCGTGCTCGCCCTATTCTTGTTCATCGACATGTGCATAACAGTCGCAGTGCCACACATACGACTGGAGGAAGGCTGGGTTGGAATAGCTACTGTTGTCTGGGCGACTCTTGTCGCGGTCTATAACATTATGCAGAACCGTTTCGTCGCGTGGGGTAAACGAGAGGAGGAAGAGCGGCTCACAGGCCGTGAGGAGACCCGCCGGTCTCTACGAGAATGGCTTGCGGTGCTAGCTGAGACTCTCTTCATGGCCATTATAGCCATAATTTCCGTGCTCTTCATGATCACACTAGCGCTCCGAGCGCGAGACGCCACCCTCCAACCCCCAGGGCAGAAATTCTACGTCACCGGTAACAACTACCAGGTACATCTTGACTGTGTAGGAAACTCGACCGATGACGATTCAACACCAACCGTTCTCGTCGAAGGTGGTGAAGGGCCTGTCGAACATACTCTTCAGCCATTCATCGACGAGCTTCAGCAAAAGGGTGCTATATCCCGCTACTGCTATTGGGATAGACCAGGGATTGGGTGGTCTGACAATGCTCCTTCCCCGTTCTCAGCTGGAATGGCCTCAGATGCACTCTCAGAGGCGCTCGCATTGGCTGGTGAAGAAGGACCCTGGGTTCTCGTCTCTGCAGGCGTGGGAAGTATATACAACCGGATCTTCGCGAGTCGCCACCTACTCGAGGTCAACGGCATCTTCTTAATCGATCCGTTGCACGAAGACTACCTATCCGACATCGGCGATCCGGGCCACGGCTTCGCTCTATGGGTCCGCGGCATCCTTTCACCGCTAGGTCTGGACCGTATATTCGGCGCTATCTTCAGGCATCGTACGCGCGAGGACCGTGTGTTCGGCCGCAGTGCCTATCAAACGGGCAAATTCATCCGTGCGAAGCTCCAGGAGAATCTAGTCGCCGAGTCCTTGACCTCATCTGAAATCCAAGCTGCGCGGCATGTTCAGATGGCGGAAACACCGTTGATGGTTATTAGTTCTGGGGACGAAGTGAAGAAGAGTGATAGGTGGGCTGATAAGCAGGAGGATCTGACTAGCATCACGAAGAATCTCAAAAATTGGGATATTGTCAAGGATGCGCCACACGAGGTGTGGAAGACCACGGAAGGGAGGCGGTTGCTTGAGGATAGGCTGAGAGCGATGGTGTCGGAAGAATGATTTATTAGTTTCTCGTGTGTATATCTTGCTTGTTATTGTACTTTATGCTATGAGTCAATAATTACTACCAATTGATTGATATTGTACGTGGCTCAACGTCCGCCGCCTGCTTGCTTGCCGCCTTGACCTTGAGAGTTCGTTGATATTCTTTTCGGCCATGCATACAAGAGCGAAACTTTGATCACTAGGATGATGTCAATAATCGATCATATTGTTTTCATGGCCGTTGCTCTTCGAGTCTTCGAAATCGCCTAGCGAGTAAACAAACTGAGGTACCGGGCTCGTGGCACGTGGCACTTCCCACAGAGATAGCAACAACGTTCCGCGTGTCGAACTTCCATCGCTTACTTAAAGTTAGAGAACTCGAGTTTGTTTAATTAAGAATTTGAGATGGAGAATGTCCATGGATCATTGTAACTAGCAGGCGGTTATATAGGCGGTCACATATGACCGGCAGAATATAGTAGGTACTGGGGCATTACGACATGGACTGAAGTGCCACACAGAGCCGCTGACCTGACTTTATCTTTCAACTATCTTCTTTTGCCTTCCCTTCCCACTCCTTTCTATCTCGGAAACTGTCATCCTTATCGGAATGAACTCACACCTACGGTTTTGATTTCTGCCTTTAGACACGTCCAAATCCGCCAGTCTATCACCGTCAAGCTGTCATGGCGTCCCGCACGATCATTCTGAGATTCGAGAGCCGGAACGGTCAGTTTCGGTTGAACGTCAACCCGCAAGATTTGTTCCCCTCTCTCCAAGCAAAGGTATGACTTATATACTATCTTTATATTTTATTCTTCTTGCCATTATATCAATATGGTGGGCGGACAGACACTGATTTGAGCTTTAGATTCTGGAACACCTCCCCTCCGATGTCCAACCTTCCTCGATTAGGCTCTCTAACAAGCCTATTGGTGCTTCCGGTGATGAGCGACTTCTGGAAACGTTGGATGGAGTCTCTTTTGAGCAAGTTGGATTAAAGTTAGCAACAGCAATAACGCTGCGGCAAACAATCTCTAACGTTGGATATCTAGGCATGGTGACAAACTCTACGTCGGATACCAATCAAAGCATGATCTTCAAGATGGCGCCAGCAATGGAGTTTCTGCAGGAGTTTCTGCAGGATCATCTGCACGACGTCTGAATGGAGCCCCCGTAGCTCCAGACAGTTCTCGATTACCGTCCAGCACCGCCTCTGTTACCGTCAAGAACCCTTGGGAAGCAGTTCGACAGTCAGCTCTTGACGACCGCCTGGAAAAGAAGGATGGGAAAATCCATCGACCCCGTGACAACAAGATGTGCAAACACAGTGGAAAGGGCATGTGCGATTACTGCATGCCACTTGAACCTTACGACCCGAAATATCTTGGAGAGAAGAAGATCAAACACCTGTCATTTCACTCATACTTGCGCAAAATCAATGCTGCAACGAATAAACCCGAACTCGGGAGCTCCTTCATGCCTCCCCTAAATGAGCCATACTACCGGGTAAGACCAGATTGCCCCTCTGGCCATCCGCCCTGGCCAGAAGGAATCTGTACCAAATGTCAGCCAAGTGCAATCAGTCTGCAACCTCAAGAATATCGCATGGTTGACCATGTAGAATTTTCCACACCTGATCTCATCAATTCATTGCTTGACTTCTGGCGCAAGTCGGGCACCCAGCGCCTTGGATACCTTTATGGTACATTCGAAGAATACACAGAGGTGCCCCTTGGAGTTAAGGCTGTCGTACAGGCAATCTATGAGCCACCTCAAGTGGATGAAGTTGATGGGGTTACACTTCACGATTGGGAGAAAGAAAAGGAAGTGGACGAAGTTGCACACCTCTGCGGTCTTGAAAAGGTTGGAGTCATTTATACTGACCTGCTCGATTCCGGGCGAGGCGATGGTACCGTGATCTGCAAACGACATATTGACTCGTACTACCTTTCTTCTCTGGAAATTGCGTTTGCGTCACGTTTACAAACACAGCACCCCAAGACAACGAGGTGGAGCCGAACCGGCCATTTTGGATCCAACTTTGTGACTTGTGTTGTTAGTGGGGATGATGAGGGGGCTATCACCATCAGCTCTTACCAGGCCTCGGTCTCAGCAGTGGAGATGGTCAGGGCCAATATAATTGAGCCATCCGCCGAACCATCGGTGATGCTAGTACAATCAGAGGAGGATGGCGACAACAAATCGCGGTACATACCCGAGGTCTTCTATCGGAAGATCAACGAATACGGAGTATCCGCGCAGGTAAACGCAAAACCAAGCTTCCCGGTCGAGTATCTTTTGGTTACTCTGACCCACGGTTTCCCCACGGAATCCAAACCACTTTTCATTGACAGCACATACCCGATTGAGAACCGTGAGGTTATTGGCGAGGGGCAGGAATTGCACAGTCTAGCTCGAAAATTAGTGTCCCACGACCCAGATAGGTCAATCCGTGCGGTGTCCGACTTCCATCTGCTATGCTTCCTTCGCTCCTTGTCTACTTTCAGCAAGGTAAGTTCTATCATCGGATCGCTCGGGCCGCTCCGAGAAACGTCAACTAACCGCACATCACCAAAAAATTAGGACGAGGAAGCACTCCTCTGCCGTGTAGCTACAACCCGGAATCCCACAGATGGCCTTCAGCTCATCAATACCCCCGGTTGGGCAACATTAATGGCAATTCTTCAGGAAAGCGGTGAGCGGCCCCCCAAGCGTCCCTGGCTGGATTCTTCACGCCCTGTGCCCCAGCCCGGAAAACGTTACCTTTCCTCCTCAAGGCCTGAGTCTCCCAAATCTGAAAGTGAACAACTTGCTAAGAGGTTCAAGGGAGCTAGTCTAAGGTGACCGGTCGATGTTCTCCGAGCCGCCGCACCTGCGCATCCATCCTATCCGCACCGGTAACCGATATTGATCCGACAGGCCACCCTTGACCATGCCCGTTCGAACATGTATCGCTCTTAGTTCACTGGACCGAATGGTTATGACATCTGTCATTTAGAGGAGCCCCGTTAGGTATTAGGCTACGGTTTTAGATAAGATAATGGTCAAGGTTATAGAGCGGCTCTAGGTAGTGTCTTAGGTTAGTATATCTGGCCGAGTGGATGGCTCGATGTATATGAATAGATGGTTCGCCTTGATTACATGAATGAAATGGGAGTTGCAGTAGCACTTAAATGGCCCGATTAATGCGTTTCATCCCGCTTAAGTACCATATAAACTTGGGGTGAGGCGCCGTCCTCAGCGCATTGATCAATTGCCTAATCAGGAAGTCAACTATATGTTTGATCTGTTTGCACCAAAATCATCCTTCAATCCATCGTCTCCAACCCGACATATACTTCCTCTCCACATCTCTACCTCACACTCACAATACGCACCTACACCATGGACAACCCGTCAAAACGAAAACTCGGGCCCTCTGTGGTCCCCGAAGCCGCTACCCAAGACACAGAAAACACCGCCGACAAGCGCCGCAAAGTCATCGGCCCATCACTCCCGCCACCAACCTCCAACAATGACAGCGACAACTCAAATTCAGACTCGGACTCGGACGACGATGACTTCGGTCCCAGCCTCCCGCCGCCGGAAGGGTCAATTCCACAAGCGCAGCAGCAAACAAACCCCAAATCCACAACCCCGCCTTTAAGCACGGAGGAGACGCAAGAAGCGAAACCCGTGCTGAAGCGGGATGCTTGGATGCTTGCGCCGCCCACAGGTGATTCGGATCGGTCGCGCGTTGATCCTACGAAACTACGGAACAGGAAGTTTCAGAGCGGGCCGCGGGTTGGGAATGCGCCGGCTGGGGGAGGAGGGGTGGATAGTTCGTGGACTGAGACGCCGGAGGAGAAAATGAGGAGGTTACAGGATCAGGCAATGGGTATCTCTGCTCCTGGGGCTGGTGGTGTTTTGTCTGCTGGGGCGGGTGCCGATGATAAGGCTACGCAGGCTATGAGGGAGAAGGTGCAGAAGTATAATGAGCGGGTGAGGAAAGATGAGGGGGGCTCCTTGGTTGAGGAGAAGAAGAGGAAGGAAAAGGAGAAGGGGAAGGACGGGGAGGAAGAGGATGATCCTAGTCAGAGGGCTTTTGATAAGGAGAAGGATATGGCGCTTTCCTCGAAGCTGACGCATGCGCAACGGAGGGAGATGATGAGTAAAGCTGCGGATTTTGGGTCAAGGTTTTCTAAGGGCAAATTTTTATAGATACTGTTATTTTTTTTTTTTTTTTTTTCGCGATGTAGTATACTGTACTGTTGTGTCAATATAGCGTTTCACGAATCTATACGCAAACGGAGCAAATTAATAGAAAAGATTTGAATTATTTTCTAATTAGTTTCTTTATATAAACTTTATCATTAATCATCAAGTCTTCTCGTAGCTCAAGGACAAAGACGACAACGTTAAACGGACAAAACAACCAGGGGTATATAAGCGAGTCGATCAGAGAATGTTACACTTCTTAGGAAGCCCGCAAGGGCCGCCTTCACTATCCCTCTCTGCGTTCGCTGCTTGGGAACCCTGCTGCTGAGTTTCATTCTGGGGTGCTGCCTTTGTTTCCTTTTGCTGTTGAGCAGGTTGTGCCTCAGACTTGTTCTCGCTGCTGCCATGCAGTCACGCGAAGTTAACACGGGAAACGTGGTCCCAGAAGGACTTGCCCTGGGTCTCGGCGATCTGGAGCTCGAGAGGAGTGGGCTGGCGAGAGCCATCGGCACCCTATAAAACAAAAGGTCAGTCCATAATTCCCTTGAGCCATTTCTCTGAGCAAGATAGACATACAGCGAAGGTACCAGCACCCCAGGCGCTACCACCGTGGACCTCGTCGAGGTTGGAAAGGAGAGGGAAGGCAGTCTTGTAGCCAAGGGGCACGTAGATGAAACCGTGGTGGGAGAGGGTGCTCATCGAGGCGAGAGCGGTAGATTCCTGTCCACCTCCAAGGGTACCAGTGGAGACGAAGAGACCGGCGTAGCGGCCGTAGAAGCCACCGGTGGCCCAGATACCGCCAGTACGGTCCCAGAAGGCCTTCCACTGAGCAGGGAAGTTACCGTAACGGGTGGGGATACCGAAGAGGACAGCATCGTAGTCAAGGAGCTGCTCGGGCTTCTCCAAGACGGGGACGGAAGACTTCTTGGGAGCGTGCATCTTGTCGAGGACCTCCTGGGGGAGGGTCTCAGGGATCCTAATGACGTATTGTAAGCTTTGATAGGGTTTGGTGGTGGTGCGGGGCATGGACATACTGGTAGAGGTCGGCGGAGCCACCAGCAGCCTGGATACCCTTGAGTTCGGCCTGGGCCAGCTTCTCAATGTGGCCGTACATAGAGTACTAGACGAAACATGAGCATTAGATGGTGTTTTTGGCAGTTTTTCGTGCAGGAGAATCATGCGGGGTACGTACAAAGACGATAGCAACCTTGGGAGCCATTGCGACGGTTTATGACCTCGAAAGGGCTAAAGGAGCTGTAAGGAAGGATGATAAAGTGATAATGGTCTAAGTTAAAAAAGAGTCCGAAGAATTGGATGAGCAGGTGCCTTTTATAAGAGGTCAGGAGGGGATTAGTTATGTCGTAAATGGGAAGCTTTCCATTTTGTCATCGATTACAGATGCGGCCCGCCTGCTGCTGATTGGCCCAACCATACGTTCCGCGGGTCTCCCCCACATGCCTCTTGTTAGCTCAGTCTGACACAGACTTGACAAATGCCCGCCAGCTTCTCGACATGGTTCTAATCTCGGGTTTTCAGCAAAAATAGCCGGCTTCATGGAAATGGAACTGTCTTCGGATTTACGGAGTAAAATCTTTACTTGTAGTCTCAATCGCATGTTCTGGCCTCGTGGTGATCCACCAGCCTTTTCGTTTGCCACAATTGCTTGCGTGCGTTTATGGACCTCCAGGACCGAAGTGGAAGATGAATGCACCTGGAGGGTTTCTTCTACTCGGAGTAGCAGCCCTTGAACCTGGGCCTTTGCACACCGCTACTTATTACTATGCTATACTTGGCCCCTTCGTACGCCCTCAAAAATGACTACTAGTGGCTGCACTACTTAGGGAATAGTTCAAATTAATATACTCGTATTGTTGGTGACCATTGGCCCCTATGTATTTACAACAACTATCTAGAGTAAACAATTCCAACTGCAAGTGTACATGTGGAATCAGTTATCATGACATCAGACCTTAAAGTTTGATAAGGGCGAATGAATCGAATCAAAAGTCGTGAATATCCGTCCCTCTGCCAGAGTTTGCTTCTGTATATTTCAAACCCGCTTGCGTGTCTGACATTTGTCGTCATTCAGACCCCGTGGTTTGAGTAGGTTGTTTGGATTTGGCGCATATGGCGCACATGGTGCGGCAGTTCGGAGACACGTATCGATGGAATACTCCTGGGTAAGTCGATCAACCGAGAGCGACAATCGGTCAATTTCTGACTGACGATTCTCCAGCCTTCATGGACCTTGATGTATGTAGATGTATAGATGTAAGCTTCCGCCGTCATATCGGTTGGATTTACCCTCGCCCTCTGCCACGATACCGGCCGCGCATTCCAAATCCACCACGACCACGTTCGCTCCTCCATTCTCGCTCTCTTTCTCGCTCCCGCTCCTGTTCTTCGCGAATTAAGTTCCTCTCATTCTCTAGCTCCTCTTCTGTCTTCTCCACTCGTATCGATGGCTTGGGCAAGTTCTCAGACCATCGCGGATGGGCGTCCGCGCAAGAAGCGCCCTCGGGACAGAACCCAGCAAGGTAGTATTGACAAAGACGCCGACGGACATGTCGCTTCGCACATATAGGACCGAGCGGACAGAATCCCTGGTCGTAGTGTTCGCATGGAGGGAGGCGCGCCTGCTCGCGTACGTGCTGGTACAAGCAGTCATCCCCGTTTGGGCAGTATCCGGACCGGGAGAAAGACTGACATTCCGGCATGCGCCGAAGGTTGTATTCGTGAAGATATTCGCACTTGATACCCTTTTTGCAGAGGCCCTTGAGAAAGTGCTTGCAGACAAGGGATCCGTGAGTGGTTGATGGCGCTAACCCGGAGGCCGTGGTCGTCGACGTGGTTACTCGTGAAGGGGTCGGGTGCCGATCGGGGCAAGCAGGGCCCAATGGGCAATGCCCTTCGCTGTAAGCCTTGCATACAGGGACGTCGCTGACGAGGCCGAAGCCATAGTTCTTGCGTAAGAAGGGAACAAAGGAGAACTGATCGGAGTCCGGGTCACGGGTGCGATCTGTGGACACAATTTGAGATGCAGCATAGCTAACATCTGCAGCCATGGTGCTCTGGAGGTGGATGTGTTAAGTGACTGTGTCACAAGGAAAGACACAAGTGTAATGAAAGGCACTGAGCTGCTCGAAGGTCATGAACAAGAGAACTTCGCGACGACCTCGAAGGAGCTTCCAGGCAGAACGAGAAAGGCTTACAAATATGGAAAGCGGTGGTGCAAATCATGGCTTTGTCATCGTTCCGCACTTGAATCACGTGCACACATGTGGTCCTCAGGCCAGCAATTTGAATGTTTACATTGAAGTTATGGCATGACACACTTGGAAATATAAGGAGACTGCAGTTGCTGCAAATAATAATAGCCCGTCCATGTCTATTGTTTCATCACGTAATTGCATGCACCCTCAAATCTGTAGTTGGCAAGTTTACCGGGCGCAACATCTTCAGCAGCCAGCAAGGATTCATCCGTATTACGACTCCTCTCAGGAGGTCACTGTCACTTCTCCTCCTGCATTCCAGTGATGTGCTAGTCTGGGCTCTGGGATAGTAATTTCGGTATGGGCATGGTCATGTTGACCATTGTTTCAATACCAAGGGCGCCTGATTCTACAACTACATCGAACCTGGGAGGCGCTAGTAGGAAAATCATAGGGCTCCGGTTTTGTTTGTACACCGGTGTACGGATAGCATGATTCGAATTGTGTCGGCTAAGAGGGTCCTGGTCAGGAAGTGATATATGTACCGAGCACGTTGGACGCATTACTTGTTCTTTTGCCCCAAACCTCCAGTGTCAGCTTTCGCTTCTATGGGCACGCATATGATTTTTAGTCTTGGATGTCTCGAGTCCCAGGATATGCCATTGCGGGGATGAGAATGCTCTCCGCAAAACATGAGACAGGTCACACAAAGCGCCAGCAAACGCATGCCCAAAAGCCTCGAGTTGACTTTTCAGTTTTCAGACCCTGAGGCGCAAGAGAGAAAAAGCAAATTGCCGAGGCAAAGGCATCAGGGGAGCAAGGCGATCCCCCAGTTTCTGAAGGCGTTGTTCTTGCCCAATTCGATTGACTCGGGCGAGGATCAAGAATTCATCATCTTTCCTGTTTTCACGCTCTATTCCTGGCAGTTTGTAGTTGTTCCCCCACTTTCGCTGCTCCGTCCAGACCAAGCTTCGCCCCCCGAGGATAAGTCAGAAGAGAATCTCGATCGTGATCCACTGAGTGGCGCCTGGGTCTTCGAGTGAGGCTAAGTCGAAGCTATACTTCATAGTATTCTCGCCACAATACTAATAACATTCGCGTCTCACTGGTGGCCCTTGGGTGAAAGGTCCTTCCAACCAGCCACTCGTTGCCAAATTGCACCAGCTTACATTTTCGGCGGGCAGACGAGATGGACAGCGCTCCCAGTGCATCCAATGGCGAGCATCACGGTCGATATCCTGGATGTTAAATTTGTTGTAGATTAAAAAAGGAAACGGGGCCGCGAGTTTACGACAAAAATAGCCGGGCGAACCGAAGGCGGGGGTGAATCCACTATAGTGTAGTGTTTGGGCCTTGTGCTTTTTGGCATTAATAACACTCGTGTTTTGACTCGGTCGACGGGCAGTCTGATGACCCTTTCACACACACATCTGCCTCTCCCTCCTCCCATTATGGTTGCATTAGGAAATGCGGAGTCTTCGGTCTGCGATCTGCATATCGACTGGACTGGAACCTCGCAGTAATGAGCGCAAGGTATGTCCGTAGCGAGCTGGCGTCACCCCCAACCTGAGGCGGTCTTTAGAGGTGGGGAAGACATGCTCACGGCCTGCTGAGGCGCAGATGGCAGCCAAAAAAAAAAAAAAAAAAAAAGGCCGCCCGATCTCAGTCGGAGTTAGTGTGCGATGAATCCATAGTCATAGCCCTTGGAAAGAGCCCCAGTTGCCATCTCTCAAAGTCCAATCGAGGGCCGTGCTTTCTAATGTGGTTTCCCCCCCGCGGTTGCTAAAGCAAAAGCAAAAATAGCCTTTGAATCAAGCCTGCTCCAATTCGCAGGATTAACCTGTACAAACAACTGAAGCTCCAGCCAGCTTTGGACTGTCGAAGCTGGAACTGAAGTCACCAAACATCCCACACGTGACGCAGTTCTTAATCGAGCAACTGCTCTTCTGCTCTTCACCATCGTCGCCCTTTTTTCTTACCCTCGCTTTTCTGTATCTGGACTTTTATATAGTCTTCTGTTTATACCCCTTTGTTAGCCACATTGATTGCGTGCGCTTCTCGCCGCTATACCCATGTTTTCCTCCGGCTCCATCTTCCCCCACTGGCGCCGCAAAGCCGCAGAACGCTCCAGTGGCAGCTCCTCAGAAATCCCATTCTTTCTGAACGCCGCCTACTATCCGAATTGGCGCATATATCGCAAGCAGCCCCCGTCGTCGCTCAGATTGGGATTCGTCTCTCATATATTCTACGCGTTTGCCTGGTACATACTAGTCATGCACCTCCTCAGGATGCCGAACCCACAGTTGTAGAACTGGATTGTTAACCAAGCTTTGTTTGCTTTATTTAGGGTCAGGGAAGATGGCACGGTTTATGTAAATTCCCCTTACTCAAGTTCACAGTTTAGGGTCGTCGCTGTATCGTGATGAAATCTTGCTGACTAGGGGGTTGTTGTAATAGCTGAGCGATGAGTGGGCCGATACACAAATGCCTGTGGATGGCACAAACGGTTGTCTCCGGGCATTCGCACAGCTCAAGCAACAATATTCCAAAATGAAACTTGTACTCTCGATTGGCGGGGGTGGGAAAGGCAGCGAAAACTTCGCCGCGGTGGCCCGCAGCAAGTCTCGCACAGAAACATTCGCTCAGTCTGCCCGGCAACTAGTGGATCAATTCGGCCTTGATGGCATCGATGGTACGCTCTGCTCTGATGGCCTCGTATTGTACTGACATTCGCGATAAAAGTGGACTGGGAACATCCGGCAGACTCGCAGCAGGGACATGACTACATCCGTTTCCTTTCTAGACTGCGAGACTACTTCCCAGCGGCGCAATATGTATTGGCAACCTGTCTTCCAGCAGGACAATGGGCACTCCAGCACATTGACCTCAAGAAAGCGCAAAAATATGTCGACATGATCAATGTCATGGGTTACGATTTCGCTGGCCCATGGGGGGCCGAGACCGGACACCACGCCCAGCTGTATAGTCATACCTATGGGTCGGGGATATCATGTCAATCTGCTGTGGAGTATTTCTTAGGAAAGGGCGTCCATCCCAAGAAACTGCTCCTCGGTATCCCCGCCTATGGTCGGTCGTTCCTCGGCAGCAATAACATCGGACAACGGTATGTAGGCTGCGGTGGGGAAGATGGGGTATTCGATTACAGCGAACTCCCACGGCCGGGAGCGATGGAATATCATGACAACGAGGTGGCGGCAGCGTTCTGTGTCGGAGGGGACGGCGGGTTTGTAACGTACGACACGCCACAGACGGTAGAGCAAAAGGCGAAATTCGTAACACGGGAACGTCTAGGAGGGCTCTTTTATTGGCATATCGGTGGGGATGCTCGAGGCCCACGGAGTCTCATCGAAACCGGGTACAACACTCTGCACGATATGTAAATCAGTGAACCTTTTGTGAAGTAGCGACGAAACGGTGCGAGATAAGGGAGCTAAAAAGGGTGGCTTCTATTGATTTTTTATTCTTTGTTGGTTTGGTTCTCAGTGGTTGCGAGCGTCAAATGTAACATCGAGGGGAGGTCCTATTATTCATATACAATTCGACCAAGAGAATGATGAGTTAATGAAATGATAAGCTTGCAGGATCCTCCCGTAGCACCCGATAAGAGGTATGTTGTGTTCTTATAGGCATTCTGCTGAGAACCGGCCGAGAATCCTCCAGGACCGCAGGGTACTTATCTAGCCCAATAATAATCAGCGAAGAGAACCAAAATAGCGCAAAAACAAGAAATTGCCGCTATTTGAGACAGGACCAAATCGTTTCTCTTGGTTTCCCGGCAAAGATCCTCAGTACCCAGGTATGTGTCGCAATCGTCGAACTCAGAAGTCACCTCATTCCTGCAATAGTGTCGTTATCAGTGGTTGGGCGGCTGCTCACTCGCTCAGGCATAGCGGGCGCAATATTGTCTGATGCTGGTGTCATCTTTCATTATCATAAAAGTGAGTGCTTGCTAAAAATTCCGATTAAGTCTAATATTTAAGCTTCCAGAACAAATATGAATGTCAAGCCCTCCCTCGTCAAACCCATAACGGTCATACTAGAGCGGCATACATAGATTTTCTGTATTCGACAGATCGTACACAAAAAAATGGCTCAATGATCAAAATCAGACACCGACTTTCCCAAAGGCCGCCCTGATTTCCTCAACCTTTTGTCCCTTCGCCAGCAGTAGTCCGAGCAAGATACGTGCCTTCGGCGGGCTTAAGAACCCGCTTGAGATACCACCGGACTCGGAATATGGAACCTCACCGTTGCCAGTGCGGGTGCTCTGGACGATGGGGAAGTGGTCCTTTGTTACGAGAGACGAAATGGCAGTCGAGGAGACGGTGTTGACGGCGCCAGCTCCTGAGCCTGCGATCTGTTAAGGGCAAATTTCGTTAGTATAGGGCTAATAATTGAAGAGAGATATAGGAGGGTAGGTCGAAGGATAAGAAGGGTACATACAACAACACCCTTTGCACCATTCTCGACGGCAGAGAAGAGCGTATCGTTGCTCATATCCTGGTACGAGTACAGGATATCCACGCGCGGGATAGAGGTGACACCCGATACATCGATCGCCGTCTTCCCCGTCGGCAGCACAGGCGGGTAGAAGAAATAAGGCGTATTCGAGACAATAGCACCGAGATATCCCATCTCAACGGCCTTGAACGTATCCATTGTGTTCGCATTCGTCTTGGAGACATAATAAGCCGACGCAATTCGGTCGTTCATGACGACCAAAGCCCCCCGATTCCTTGCCTCAGATCTCGCAGCCACCGTCACGGATTGGAGAAGGTTGAAGGGCCCGTCGGCGGAGATGGCTGTTGCGGGACGCATTGCACCGACGATTACAATGGGTTTGCCGCAGGTGACTGTTGCGTCGAGGAAGAAGGCGGTTTCCTCGAGGGTATCGGTGCCGTGGGTGACGACTGCGCCGGCCATCGTTGGGTCGTTGCAGACGACTTTGTTGAGGCGGTGCGCCATGCTGAGTAGGATAGAGGAGGAGACGTCGCCGCTGGCGACGTTGGCGACTTGGACACCGGCCACGTTGGCGACATCGAGCATTTCGGGGACGGCGTCGATGAGGGATTGGATTCCTAGGGCGCCGGCTTGGTAGCCCGTTGTTGCGGTGTTGTCGGCTGAGGAGCCCGCGATTGTACCTCCTATGTTGAGTGTTAGTTTGCGAAGAGGGAGAGGTTACATAGAGAAAGGTAACATACCAGTTGCGAATATAGTCACATTGGGTAGGCTGGTGTTCATCTGAGTGAAATTTAGGCCATTGGAGTTGGTGAAAGCGTAACTGATGTTTGAGCTCGAATCATCTCGAGGAAATATAAGAGGAGATGCGTTGCTGGTAGTAGCCAGAGCAGCCACTGCGAGAGTTCTAAGCCGGACACCCATAGCGTAAAATAGCATTAACGAAAATTATCCAGGAGAGAAAAACAAATAAAGGAATTGATTCGGTATAAGTAGTAGTTCCATACTGACGGGCTCCAAAAGACCTTTATATTTACGGCTCGCAGTAGTCGGAGCTCGACGCGGTGGAGAACAATTTGAGGGTATACCGGCCGTTACCTTATCGCCCCCGTAACGATAGAGTAAGCTGAGGGGACTGAGAGCTGCGATAGACCAAGCCGTTGGATGGTGAGCAAACACCAAGTGGGCCGCCAAGGGAAAGTAGAAGAGCTTCTTGGAGTCATCGCGAAGTTCTTATCAGTCGCTAGGTGAAGATAACAACCCACCCCGATATATCGGAGATAGACCGCCGTTGTATTCATCGATAGTAGTCACGGCTACACGGAGAGGAAGATATAATAACAGAATTGAATAGATCCCTCGGGATCGCAACTTCATAATGGTATCTGATCCATCCGGTCATATCGGAACATTATTATAACAAAGAAACAAAGATATAGAGAAGAAAAAGCGGATATTGGCAGATGAAAAGCAACCATTCAGAAAAATATCCATACACGACGAACCAACCCGCCCTGGTCTGGCCTGGCTCTCAGCCGAGAACCGCGCTCAGGTTCACGTTGGTGTTAAGCGTGTTTGCCTGCAACGCCTTCGTGAAGTATGAGATAGGTTCTCCGTTGTATACACTGGAATTGCCAACAATCGTCAGAGGCATAATGCCGTCGCCCGGAAGAAGGCCGGCCAGGGTGGAAATGTTTAAAAAGGAAGTCATGGGGACATGGTTGTCACCGGGACGAAGCACCAGATCGTCCAAGAACGACTGCCCAAGTTTGGTGCCGTTGGATGAGACGTCCAAAGTAAGATTGCCCTAACGCCACAAGTCAGCAAGTGAAGGCACAAAACAGCAGAAAATCAACTCGTACCATGGTGAGTGTCAGAACGGATGGATTAGGAATAAGCACAGTGCCTTCAGCATTTCTTCCCTGGCCGAGATCGGTGTTCAATCCCAGTTTCTCGATCTTGAAGCCATTAAGCTTGTTAAGTCCTAGTCGTGGTTAGTAAATACCCGAATAGCAAAACATCTAGGCCTTTCTAGTCTTACCCTTCATGGTGATCGTCTTGTTGTAATCAATGTCGATGGTGGGCAGCGCGCCGAGCTTCAGACGCGGTTCGCCGTAAATATTGAGCTTGAACTCCTCGTTCATCATCACCGCAATTGAGAAAGCCTCGAAATCTTCAACACTGCTCAAGTCAACCCACTGGTCGATATCCACCACATACCCGTCTCTACCCTGGACCTCCGGGACGGTGACCTTGGCAAACTTAGAGGAGCCCAGGAGGCTGACGTCGGCGTCAAAGCTGAAGAGCTTGGGCTTGAATGTACTGCCGCTTCCGATGACCTGTTTCTGGTTGAGGTGGAATCCATCGGGGCTGGGGTCGCTAATCTCCATGGATGTCACATCAAGGGTAGAGTCATTGATATCACCCTGGGCGATTCTCGGGTAGCCGACATAAACACTGTCCGACACATTGTTAATTGAGCCATTGCTTGTTTTCTTTTCTTCGCCAAGGTACTTTTCGGTCCCTGTTGGTAAACTTACAGAGGGAGAGCAATGACCAGAACAATCACGGCCAGGGCGATGAGGTGAGCCCACCACCATTTCTTAAAATGCGCCTTCACACGAGCCAGGAAGCTGGGCTTCGCGGTAGTCCCCAAAGGGACTTCTTCGACAGCGGCTTTGTCAGACATATTATACTGCCGGTATGCGTCTAATGGCGTGAAGGGTGCTTCCTGGGACAGTACAATAGCTAAATGTTTCACTAGGGACTTGTGAGGATTGTTGATTCTCGAGTGCGTGAAGGAAAAGAGAACATACAGTAAGCAACTCAGATACCAGTCTCACCACTGAGCTGGAACTTCCCCGGAAAATCCGCGTAAAATAAACGAGAGAAAAGGAAACGAAGGAATTAAGAAGCGGGAACGACTGGCAGGAAGTGAAGTGAAGTGAAGTGAAGACCTCGGTGCTGTCCCAATCACGAGGACTGCAATAAGAGGATTACTTGAGCAGAGGGAAAAAGAAGGTCGACCACAACGCTTGGAAGATACGAAAATTTGGCTAGCAACGCCGGATGGATCCCTAAGCATTTTATCTATCCTTGCAGAGGGGCCTGAGGCGATCACATGTGGCCACTGGCATGAGAGAATCATCAAGCACCGCGGGTCTTTGCTTGTGGATCTGGACAAGGGTTCGATGATGCCCAGGAATCAAGCTGGGCATTCCGGAAAGTAGTGACATGATCTTATTATTCTCGACTACGGGAAATGGGGGGAGGGGCTAGTACCACGGCGATGCCGGCGAATCTTCCTGTTTGATCTTCGGGTTCAAAGAGCAGAGGCGACAATATAAAGCCTCTGTGAGCCTCGAGCAATCCGTCGAAACAGAGCCTGTCTGGTACCGGAGATCGACTTGACATGCATCCATTAAGCACCCCCATGCAACGGGCATCATGAAACAACGGCCGACAGAAGCGCAGATGAGCCGAGGTGTGTCAAAAAGAAAAGCAAGCCATCCCCTGCAAGGAAGCATCCATTGGCGGCGCAGGGGCACTAAGGCAAAGTTACAAAGGATGGGAAGACAGCTGCCGCTGCATGTCGAGAAGGATGGAACACGACATTGAACAACCCAATATTGTTCCCCAAATTACCCCATGGTGATCCGTGCTTGGCCCCATGCCTGGCCGGCCATTGGACGAAGGCATGGAGCGGATTGTTGCGGGAGTGAAACTGGCGTCCACCAAACTCCAGGCAATTCCGACGGAGCTTCCCAGGAGCCCTGGAGCAGACGGGCCTTGCAACTGGAAGCGAATGGGATGTGCTCGCGAACACCGCGCGACTGAAGTTGGAGTGGCGACCGGCGACTCGGCAACGCCTGGACCAGGGTTGGCTTCCTCAACTGTCCAGTCGCAGAGAGCGCTAACTCACTGGTCGAAGTCGCCAGCCGTGCAACGAGCGCCAGTGTCAGTGTGACCCTGCCAAAGTCAGACCTCTTTGACTGTTTCTGGCCAATCCTCCGTGCTGACCAGTGGCGGACTGCTGCTAGCACTGAAGGGGGGAACCACTGCGACCTCAGGCCTGCGGTTGATTAATATGGTGGTGCGTTACTAGCTCGATGGCGCTGCTCGCTAAGGCGGTCTCGAAACTCTCGATCGACGCGGGCGAATCACACCAGGCCAGGAACGCTCGAGAGGTTATCTCGTTTAGAGAAATCTGAGACCTGGAATCGAATTATTGTGGAGTCGGCGGGAAGAAGAGTTCGACCAATTTCAACACGAGTGGACGACCCCGTGACTCTGACTCGGCCAGACTCGAACTCTGCGGGAAGACCCGACTGACCGTCGCCAACCCCGGATTGTCACTGCAACGAACGGCGGAATCGCCGTGGAATACGAATGGAACGAACACCAACGCATGGCCCAGTTGGTGGGCGTCTTCACTTCTGGAACCAGCGCCACTTGTGCTACACAGGCATCATGCCACCCAACTGTCAAGAGGTGCAAAGACCCCTATTAAGTCCAAAGCCGCGGCCACTAAAAATATCCACTATGAGCCAGTGTTACGGGATACGGTTCGAGTAATGTAGGATTTCGTCAGGATCATTTAGGTAGCTAAGGGAGCCAACGAATCATTTGATTCCGCCACAGGGAAGCTGAGTAGAAAGGAAAAGGGACAGAAGAAAAGAAAGAAGGGACAGCATCGTCCAGCTGAGGAACAGATATCAGAATAGAAGCATGACATCACACAGTGATTAGGTGAATGAAGGGTATCCAAGAAGCGAAAATTGATGCCCGCAATACAAAGCGAAAGAAAAGAAGAAAAAAAGCAAGCCTTGCGATCAGAAAAGGGGAATGTAAAAAAATTAAGTAAAAATGATCGTCAAGGTGAAATGGAGGGAACTCGCTCAAGTCTGCTCATAGAACGTCCAAGAGATGAAGAAAATAGTGGGGGAAAAAATGGGGAAAACAAAGAGAAATCATAAGAAAATGAATATGCAAGAACAAATGAACCGACGACAACCCCAAGCGTTTCTGCTTGACGTCGTCTATGATATCGCCTTTTCCCAATGCAATCATGCAACCAAGAAACACGAAAACAAACCACTTATGCTTCGGCGGCGTGGGCCTTTTTGCGCTGGAACAAGCTGCGAGTTCGCGATTTGCTGCGCCCCTTCTTTTCCGGGGTATTTGACTGTCGGCCACGAGACCGGGTCTCGGGCCCATCATCTGACATATACTTGTCCTTATAAATCCTGCCATTATCAAATTAGTACCAGATTGGAAGAGGAACTTAGCGTTAGACTCACCAGCTGTTTCCGACCATGCTCATTCCCTTGGCCTCGGCCTCGCGATAGAACTTGGCCGCCTTCTTCAAGTCTTTCTTGCAGCCAACCCCTTCGGCGTAACAGTAACCCGTTTCAGCAAGGGCGTCGGCGTCTCCCCAGCGACCTGCAGTTTCAAAACATCGCAGCGCAAGAGTCTTGTCCTGCTCGATACCCCAGCCATTAAGATGGCTGACGCCGAGCTCATAAACGCTGAGAGCAAATTGAGCGCGGTACGCCTTTTGCAGCTCTTTGGCTTTAGCGGACACAGATGAGTCTGAGTCGCCGCCAGATAATTCCAGTTCAACTGAATCCATAGCCTTGCGCAACCACCGCACGCCTTCCCGTTGGTTAGGCCGCATACCCCAACCATGTCGACAGGCCAGAGCGTACAGTAACATTGCAACGGGGTGGTCCTGTTTGGCAGCAATTCGTAAATGATATGTAGACTCATTCAATGACCCCTTCTCGTGAAGTTCAATACCCTTTGCGACATGGTCCTCGGCAGATATTACCGCAGAAGCTGCAGCTGGCTTCGCCGTCTGCGGGCGTAATGTTGACGCAGAGTCTGCAGAGGACGTTGTTTCAGAGATATCATCAGTTCTAGCCGTCTCCGAGCTCCGGGCCCGAGTTGAGGCACTCTCGGGTTCAGACCTTTCAGGCAACGGTGTCGTGTGGGCTGATGACGCGGAAACCACGGGCGTCAGGAGTTTGTCGTCAGGAACCGTAGGTTCATGAGCCGATAACCTTTTCTGAGAATTCGGTGCTTCTGGGCGAGACGGTGATATGGAAGGTGTCCTCGTAGTCCTCTGAGGTTCAGCAGTCCTTGGTCGCTGCTCTGGGCTCTCAAACAGAGGCTCCTGCCATTCAAAGTGGGGTGTCTGCAAACCGGAGAAAACAACCGAATCTCTCGGCACCCCACGTCCGCGAGGAAGTGAGTACTTGGCGTATATATACGACGATACTGAGGAGGAAGGCTCATCCGTTGGCGTAGAAAGCATATCTGAAGAACCTTCAGGCACAACAATCGGGCCGGGCTTGTTGCTACGGTTCATCGTCCCCTGTACGTTTCCAGGGGGCTGTTCCGTTACCCCTAGTCCAATGGGCGCCGAAAGGCTAGTGCTAGACCTGCTCAAAGGACGGGAAAAGTTAAACGATGGGCGCGGAAGATGGCTGGAGTTCGATGCCTCAGAGCTTATAGACGGTGATCGAGGGTGTGAACGGGCCATGGAGGCCATGGGAGAATACGGCGTTGACATCGCGCTACTAGAAGATAGCTTGCGCTGGTTTGAAAAGGTCGACCCAGCGTTGGAGCTGCTGTAGTCATCGTCTGAACTCTCCGGTTGGGGTCCACGAGAACTACTCGACGGGCGGGATAGAGGGGAGCCAGGCGGGGCGAGACTGCGAGGAATGTTCAAGCGGGACGAAGCTGAATCGGTCGAGGAAGTTTTTTGCGGTCCAGGGATCGCATGTCCAACAGAAGGTGCAGCATAGAACCGGCGCGGACCTTCTGATGAAGCACGTAGCATAGTATCGTCCTCCGGTGATTCGGCGCGCGCCGCATCAAACCGGAAGCCTTCGTTATCGGCAGCAGTAGACTCGTTCTTCGGCGTTGCATCTTCCCCCCCGCCTGAGTAGTTATTTTCACTGCTAATATGGGAAATACTGCTTAAACGAGGATGTTCAGACTGGGGCCGAAACCGAGGCTCTTCTGGTTCCGGATAATTCTTTTGGGTTGGCTTCCTGGTAAGTTCCGTCACTGGACCGCGGCGTGAAGCGTCGCTAGACGACTGAGATCGGAAATAGCCCGGTCGACCTTGGGACAAAGATCGCGCAACACTGGAGGGGGGCAGGCGGCTCAATCGTCGATCTCGTCGTGCGGAGTCCTCCAACTGGCGGGCCAGCAGCCTGCCTTGAAACGCAAATGCATCGAGCGGGGAGAGTGCCGGCGGGACTTCACCGTCGAAATGTTCGATGCGCGGCGAAACGGCGCCGCCTCGGATGGCATCGTGTGAAGGCGAGCGGACATTGCACTGCGGCCGGTGGGCCATGGTGATACCAAAATACCTCCGATTCGCACAGGCAACGGACGGTTCTTGCGGGTTTTCAGAGCAGCAAGTTTACTGGGAAGTAGTAGGGACAAATAAGTTGTTCATCTAGCCAGGGTCGTATCCTGTAGGGGAGTCAACTGGTGCGCATCGAGAGCGAGGGTCAACAGTCGCGGGAGTCTTCAGGTGTCTGAAGATGGTGGGGTGTAGCGACGGTGATTTCGAAATTGGAAAGGGGTGTGGAATGGAAAAGAGCAAGAGAGCAACAAAATATCACAAAGGAGGGCGGAATTACTGAAAGGAGTGACAGCCCCAAATAAGAAGGGGAGAAAGGAAGAAGAGTTGGTCAACAAAGTTGGATAACAGGCCAAGCTTGGGTAGTCAAGGTGAAGGCGGTTGTAGTAAGGAGTGACAGGCCGTAGTTGTTATGTACAGAAGGGCTGTAGCTGGGGCGATGGGCGGGCGATTAGATAGGAGACGGAGTCTGGGCGAGCATCGCGAAATGCCGGTGGAGAGAATAGTTGAGAGGAGCGGGAGAGGAAAGAAGCCCTCAGCACGCGGCGCACACGAGAAGGATGGCAGACGACAGCAGAAAACGGCGATGGAACCAGGATAGAATTTTGAGACGTCGGTGATGATGTGACGATCGCCAACTGACGGACCGACGAGGGGCGGACGGGAAACGCTGGGATGGAAGTGTGGAGGAGCGTATCGGCGATGTATGGCTTGCCAAGCATACGTATATTACGCGACGGATACGCATTTTACCCCGGTTTATATACGGGAACGGCAAGTAATGTTGCTGACGTAAAACATGTACGACACAGGTAAGCTAACCGAGGATACGTTGCAGAACAGTTGTTGACACAGTCAGGGGCTGCTTTAATATAAAAGCAAATAAATCGAGTAATAGTTGTGAAGATGCATGACGTACTATTGAGAGTCTGAGGCCCGAGTTCTTCAGTCATGGTCCATGGACCTTGGTTGCAATAATAATTCGAGTGCGCCCTCTTCGCTGTTGATGATTCTCTCCGGCAAAACCGAGCTTCATCTCATGTTCCAAATGATCGAACATCTAGATTGAGTGATGGGCATGAACCGCCGCGCTGCTCCTGACAAGCCACCACTCAGATCGCCAGGAGTCGCAGACCTCCTGGGCATGAAACTGTCAGCCCACGGGCGACCCAAGTTTGGTTCGGTCCTGAATGGATGGTGGGGAATAGCTCGATAGGCCGCTATTTTTATTTTTATTTCCTTCAAATCAATTGCTTCCGATGCAATTCAAAGCTGACACATGAGGCCGCCTGGTTGACAAGACACGCAGGTCAACATCGTCCAACCCTCGTCAGGTTCGAACCATGTTGATGAATGGCTTGGACCGCCTTTCCTCCGATACAATTTCTTATCCATGACGTGGAGGACAACGTTCGTTATTGTGATAGTCTCCTGCTTACCGAAAGGGTCTTAGGAGTCGGACGCCAACAGAACTGCTCCACCAATGTCTGTGGAACAATGTTTCAGTCATCGGCTATTATTATTATGATCAGGGCAGACTTTACGGGGTATCTCTGCAGAACGAGGCACGGCAGTCGAAACTTGAAAGCCTTGTAGGCATCGGTCAATGCATTATTATTTGCCCATTTCTGAGTTCCAATAACACTTGGTGACTTGAGCCCAATGTCTTGGACCCTTGCATTTTATGCTCCGTTAGGGCTCGCAGATCATTTTTGAATCTCGATGGAAGGGGCGAAGAATCTCATTTCGCGGATCACCAGAAGCTAGCCATTCCTTTTCCAGAGAGCAGAGATGCTTAGATTGACACATTGCTATACTCCGTATATCCTAATTGATAATAACCACCAACGTATTGGCTCCTTCACCGGTCAACTTTTTCCCATCCAGTCTCGCTACTACTACCACTGACGCTTTCGACGGGGGCCGGATATCCTGTTCGCAGGCCTAACATCCAACCAACCAGGCCAGGGGGTGCCCATTGACCAATCAAATAATAAGACCGGGCGCCTCTTCCTGCGTACCTGACTGGCGTCTTAGCGGCCCGTCGTCCGAACATATTTCTCGGCGTCGGTTCCAAGGCATCCATCAATGCGTTATGAAGGGCTCTGGCAGGTGATCCTCGTACCATCCCGGGTCCAGCGGATGCCACAGGTCGTTGCTCGATGCTATTGAGATATTGAGCTCCATACAAAGAGCGTTGTTGGACACTCCAGGTGAGAACTTCGGTTCCCGCAATATGGCTGTTCGGCGCTCGGTATTGTGGTCCGAGGTCAATGTTTCCAAGTTTCAATTCCACCAAGTCAACATTGTTGTGGTGCAAAAGGCCTAGTTCTCTGCGAAGGGATGTTGCGAAACCTGACAAAGCGCGTGCGGTTGCGACTTCGGGACCAGCGAAAGGCGCTGATAGAGACGAAGATATCGACGGATAGACAAGTACAATAGTGCTGCTTGTGTTGCGAAGTGTAAGAAGAGGTAAGAAGAGCTGCGTGGTTAAGATGGGTGAAAGAAGGCGTGTGTTAATGGTATCGACCCATGATGAGGGCGGAATCGTAGCAATGGGGCCTGCTACAAAATTTGGCGAGGGGACTAACACAAGCCCGCTCAGCTGACAGATATGTGGTGGCACTCCAGGCATCGGTGCGCGCGGCTTGGTGATCATGGTATGGATCTCATTTAGGGATGAGTGCACCTCCGACGGCGATGAAGGCAGCTAGAAACGTAAGCAACGAACCCTATACCACTTTTCGCCATACGACTTACCGTCGTTAAGTCGATCCATAGAGGTCTTATATCGGGTCGATTCTCCCCACGGACAAGGTGCTCTTCTTCTGTTGATGACACGGTGATATAAACAATGTAACCACGACGGTCTAAATCCGCCGCTATCGACCTAGTCATCGGTTCATGTGGTGACCCGGCAACAACTATAATAAAAGTAAGCATCGAGCCCGACACAAGCAGGTGTCTGCATCGTGATAATCCCCGCCTTACCTATTATTTCCTTCCGGCCACCATTTGCAGCTCTTTTAGCCTTCCGTCTCTTAGCCCTCAGCTTATTACTCCCAAAGTACAGGATGCTAGTCGTCCCCACGAAAGCCAAGATAGCAGCACTCCAAGCTCGATTGCGCATAGCCCAATTCTGCATACGATCATACAGGGAGTGCGACTCCGGCGTAAAAGGCCGGGTTTTCGGCAGCGGTCTCACGCTCGATGGAAGCCATGATTGATGCGAAAGGGTATCTCGAACGACGTCCGCAGCATGGTCGACGTGCCAGTCAATCGCATCAGCGACTTGCATCGAGTATCTCCTTACGTCATGAGGAATAGAAGCAAGCTGGAAAAGAATACAGCAAGCTGTCAGATCTCGGTCGCAGGGCCGTGGTATAGACGGTGCGGAAACTTACATAGTCGAAGAAGAACTGATCGTCACTAGTCATTTCGATGAAACCCTTGGTCCGAATGTTGTTTGATGGAAAACTGTCAAAACTCTGCTGATAAGACTGATGAAGCCATCGATAAGGTAGCCCATCACATGACCACTGTATTGGGCTCGGTCTCCATTCACCCCGTAGTTGGTCGCTGTTTGAATCGGCGGTGCTTATCTTTCATGTTTATATTTGGGAGGTTTTGTTCTTTGTAGCTGGGAATCGGTTAGTCTAATTTAACTGATTGAAATATTAGTAGTAGTCCGGGATGTGGCACTGAAATCGTGAACCAAAATATATATCTAGAGGGTTCTTCGCGATGCGCTCCACAAATATAAATACATTCTTTTATCAAAGGACGCACGTATGAACAAAACAATCAGTACTCATCAGTCTACCCGAGGCCCACTCAATAAGAACGATTTAGGTAGGTTATATAAGGGGGAAGTGAATAAACAGTATTTTTGCCTTAGGCTAGATAGTCACGTGGACCGCGGCAGTCGTATGCTGATTGATGCCTGGATTCATTAATAATTACCACTATTTCGAGAGAAAAGCATCCGCGTTAATCCACGGACATAGAGCTTTCTGGGACCTTCCGTCGAGGGGCGTTCAGAGGCTGCTTACTCTTTGCGCGCTCTGGGCGGCAGTCCTTAACGGTTTTATGGCCACTGTCAGTATATTTATGAACCGAGCGATGAATACGATGGATAGCTCTCACAAGTGAGGCGCAAAAGTCATTTCCAAACACCATTTCCATTTCTCCTCAGCATTAAACTCAACGTCTGTTTTGGTAAGCTGAACTGGGCCATCCGGATTTCGTTATGCGGGAGTTAGACCCGCTGGTCAATGAATACCAGCATGACAGGCATCGGCCGAGGGAGTCAGAGGCCCTTCTGATTCTCCGAAAGATCGCTTCTTTGGTGAAGCCGATCATGCGCCGACGATCATGGCGGGTTGGTACCCTGTGCGAGTTCTATCCCCATCAGCAGAATCTTCTGGGTCTTAATATCAACGGCGGTCAAAAGATCTGTCTGCGCCTTCGATATTCGGGGGACCCGAATCAGTTTCTACCGCTCGACCAGGTCGTAGACACCATGTTACATGAGTAAGTGAATTTAATATATCTAAACTCCGTGCCTTTTTTGACTTGTGCAGGCTATGTCACATTGTACACGGACCACATAATCAGCAGTTTCATGCGCTCTGGAACCAATTACGTGACGAGCATACAGAGCTTGCCATCAAAGGATACACCGGCGAGGGATTTATGTCACACGGAAGACGGTTGGGTGGACAAAAATTGCCCATTGATGAAGCTCGTAGACAGGCCCGAGCCGCTGCAGAGCGGAGACGAACTCTCTATGCCGGATCGGGACAAAGAGTTGGAGGCACGGGTCCTGCGCGTGGCGCCGACATGCGAAGAGTCATAGCTGATGCTGCGCAACGACGCATAGAAGTGACCCAGGGCTGCGCCTCCGGAGCAGATAACTCTACTGAGCTTGCAGAGGAAGCCTCTAGGAATGGCTTCCGAACCAAAGCCGAGGAAGATGATGCAAACGAGCAAGCAATAATGCAAGTATATATTGACCTAATTGAGGAGGAAGAAAGAGAGAAGTACGGGCCCTCGTACATTCCTCCTAGCCAGGACAACCCAGCCGGTCCTCGAACGACCCTTTCCCCTCCGCCGGTACCTGACCATACTAAGCCGACCGTGCAGGTTCAGGATCAGGACGCAATCGATCTTACGATCGATGATAGTGCATTTGCCGATTCATGGACATGTCCAATGTGCACACTTGTCAATCCGTCTAATTTTCTATGTTGCGATGCATGCGCGTCGGAACGTCCTCGCCCCGTCAATTCTCGATCTGTTTCTGGTCCGCCTGCCGCGGCAAGGTCTAGGTCTAGTACCCCAGGTACGCAAAATAAGAACAAAGGACCAATAAACCGTACAATTGGACACAGATCTTTCAAGAACCGAAAGAACGCTGTTGAATCGCTGTCCAGCATTGAGAAAAACGCACAGGAACGGCCACTGGGCTGGCTATGTAATTCCTGTGGTGCCTTCATGGAGACGGAGTGGTGGACTTGCTCGGGCTGTGGGAAGATGAAACAAGCATCATGAGCCACAATAGAAACATTACTGTTATGAGAGCGTTGCTATCCTCTACCTCATTGTCCTGTAACCCTTGTTTAATTGTGGCACCCAGTCCACAATTCATGACTTACGAGTTAACTTACATTTATTGTACTGGATTTATCATACCCCCATAATCTTTGAGTTTATTTTTTAGTTCTATACTGATCCTTAAATCCCAAATATATCGAAGTATTTTCTTAAATTGGATGAACTGGATGGTACACGGATGGAGGAGGTCCTGCCAGCAGCGAAGTATACGTCCGCTTACTAATCAGATTAAGCGACTGAAGCTATCATTCAAAATTTCTTCCACCTCCCTCTCCTCGACTTCGCAACTCACCTTCAACATCACAAATCGACAACGAAAGGCGTTCTCAAGAGACAGCTGTCAGAGAACTCAATTACCATCCGACTAACAATACATTCGGTATGCAATCCCTTACACCAACCCAAAAGGAGAGGCCATCAGACCCGATTCAACAAGCTCCCCGGACGCAATTCAAAACAAAACGAACACCCAAATGATGAGAACTTTTTTTCAAGAACCGGTATTTTAGGAAGAGCCGGAATAGGTATGGCAGGAGACTTTATTAATCTCCTTGCCGTCGGTGCTTATAATGGTTCTACTGAATGGTGTTTCTGGATTGCGCCGTGGGATTTCACGGCTTGTTGGGTTGGAGGCTCCTTATCTCTCACTGAAGATTTGAGAATGTTAATTACTTTAGTGGCGAGTGCTAATTGTCGCTTTATAGGTTGGCCTTTACTACCATCTTTGGAGGGTTTACTAAGGTGCTAGTTGATTGTTGGTTACTTGGAAACGATACAGCCATTACCGTAGAAATGTACATGGATTTACAGGTGGATTGCTATCATCATTAGCTCCAGGATATATAACTTTTTTGTAGCCCCCAATCCTAAACAAGCCTAAATGAAACGCCAGACACATGCATCTACACAGAATCACGATAAATGTACAGTAAAGCCCATGCATTAGGCAATGCTAGAGAAGACACGTTTTTTGCCAGTGCCCGTTGGTCGCTCCTGTTCTTCCCAAGCTTCTTCATCAATGTAATCCTTTGATCCACTGGCTTTAACCTGCTGACCAACGAACTGTAAAGCAGAAAGGTTGAAACCCATTTCGTCTTTTTGCCGCGTGAGGACCCGACGGAGCGTAGACCGAATACTATCCAGCATGGGTCGCATCATCTTGCTGGCAACAATCTGGCGGTGGTGCGTCTTGAGCATGAAGAACAGCACACGGCAGGTGAGAGGGACGTTCCACTCTCGGCTGGCCCAGATATTGAGGAACGTAAAGAGCGCCTGAACCTTCGAGAATGGGAGGACAAGAAGGGCGTCCTGGAGGGCGGCGGGTGGAATCTTTTGCACGACGTTGAGCAGATGCTGCTCGGCGGAGACGTTGTTCAAGGCCATGTACAACGGGTTGCGGGCGGGAGGTGCTGCATTCGGTTGCCTTGCCTTGACTGCGCGCCATTCGCGCATCACCTCGAGGTCTTCCATTCCTAGATCTAGTGCTTCCATGATCTTTTCCCCGGCCATAAGGGTGTCGGTTGTCTGTTTTCCAGCTTCTACTGCTTCAGCCTTTTCACCATCTGCGCCTTCCTCTTCTTCGAGCGAAGCCGCAAGATTGTTATCATAGACCTCTTCCAGTTCCTTTTCGCGTTCTTCTTCCAGGAACAACGGTTCATCTGTCTGCTCCCAGGTGCGGATACTCTTATCGTGACTGGCGGTGACAATAAATTCTCCAGTGCGACTGATTGCCATTGCCCAGACCTCACCATGATGCCCTGCCAGCTTTTGGATGTGTTCGAATTTATCACCATCCCAGTACTTGATGACGCGATCTTTGCTGACACTGAAGAAGTTATGTCCGTTACCCTCATTATTGCTGGGTACGAAAGCCACGGCCATGATACTGTCCTCGTGGGCAAGGAAGGATTTATGGCAATCACCAAAGTCTAGGCCCCATAGGCGGACCGTCTTGTCAGCGGAGCAGGTGACGATGAGCTTGCTGTCCCAAGAGATGTCCATGTTTAGAACAGGAAGTTTGTGACCATAAAGGTTCAGAAACAGCTTCAAAGAGTCGTTGAAAAATACTTTAACAGTATTGTCCAGCAGTGCAACGGCCAGCAACCGAGCATCAGGCGAGAACCGGACACTTAAAATATCGTCTGAGACCTTTAGTGTCCTTGAGTGTATTAACTTCAAGCGCGGCGTCGTCCGCTTGGTACCAGGAATTTCTTCCTGCACAACCTGGAAGTTCCAAAATTTCGCGGACTTATCTGCACTGCCACTGGCCAAGGATTTGCCATCCGGATGCACTTGCAAAGACCACACAGGGCCGTCGTGTGCTTTAATGGTATCTAAGAGCGTAGAGGATGCGATATCGAAAACTTCTAGCTCACCATCCTTATTGCCGACCACAACAATTTTATCACCTGGAAGGAAGGCAGAGCATAGCGCGTAACCACACTCAAGTGTTCGTAAACAACTCTGCGTGCGGGCGTTCCAGACCTTGAGGCTCCCGTTGGAAGCTGAAGCTAGCATTCGGTCGTCGGAGCTCAGGGCAACCGATCTGATATCCGTACGATGACCTGGTATATCCACCGCCAGGGTTCGACTGTAGTCCATGTCGTCTTCGTCCTTAGCCTTCTTATTCAGAGTGGCGACGCTGTAGGCCTCTAGCTGATTGTTCGTAGTAGCTGCCAATAGCTGGAGCTTTCCACTTGACTTCGTCCGGATCCAATCGAAAGACCTAACCTTGCCGCCTGTTCTGACAATGATGTGAGATACGAAAACTTCAGTAACTGGAGCTGCAGAAACATCGTCTTCCTCCTTGTCTTTCCCGGCCTTCTCGGTAGCTTCGCCGTTTTCTGCCGCACGCTGTGCCTCCTTCTCCTTTCTCCGCTTGCGCTTCCTCGCCAGACTCTTTTGGACCTCTGTCTCGGAGCGGATACGCCATATTTCCACGGCCTTTTCTGAGCCATGGAAGGCCACATAGTCCGCTCGTGGATGGAAACTAATCCCTGTTGTTCGGTCTTTTCCGTTACGGTAGAATGCACCTCTGTCAGTCAGGATTTTGCGGTTCTCTGAGCCAACTTTCTCTTTAGAAATCTCGATCATGGCTCCCTCATCGATTGACCATGCCTTCAACTCGCCATCGTTCCCTCCGGTTATACAGCCACTCTGATCGGGGGCGAGGCCTAAACTCCAACATTCTCCGTTTGATTGTGCGACGTGTGTTTCAATACAGTGCTGAGACGCCAAATCCCAAACCTTGATCAACGCATCTTTCCCGGTCGTTATCAGGAAACCGGCGTGGTCGCTCAATCCAGCTTCACTGAGCAGCCCCGGCGATGGCACGAGGAAACGGAGAGAAGTGACTTGGTTTGTGTGTCCGCGTAGCTTGAATAACCCAACTTCTGAAATTAAATCCCAGACAATGATGTCGGTATCACTTGAGCCGCTTGCAAGGCGGACGCCCGCACTATCGAACGCAAGTTGTGTGATGGCAGATTTGTGGCCGTTGAATGAGATAATTACAGACTCGGTCCTCGAATCCCAGAGACGAATGCTGCCGTCTTCATATCTATGACAAGAAATTTAGATTAGTGATGTTACCAAAAATAGCTGTACCCGGTGATGCCTTACCCAACAGCGAAAATATCCTCGTCGGTCTTGCTCTGTGTAACCACCGTGACTTGCGCTTTGCACGAAGAATCTTTCCACCTCCCCAGTAGTTCACCTTTTTTGATATCCCAGCACAGGACCTCTTCGCCTGCGCCTGCTACAGCTCTTCCTGCACCTGTTTGGCGTGCAACTCCGGCAATTGCATCGTCTTGGACCCAGATCGCATTTGACGATGCGGAGGTGACGAGCCCGAAAGTCTTCGAGTGCTCGAATTTTCTGAAAGAAATTATGGTCAGGCACGAATACTTTCAAATCCACAGCACATTAAAGATAATAACTCACAGATATGACTTCACCATGGTGAATCGCCCGTGTCTTGAGAAAAATTCTGGAGAACACCGCTATCGATAGGCGCAAAAAGCGACGATAAAATATTACGGTGCGCGACAGCGGCCAGAACTGCCATCCCCCACCGCCTCGTGTGCCCCCCGAGCGCTGGACCAACCACCAACAAACGTCACTCCATCTGCTAGGCAGAAGAGAGGAGAAGGAACTCAGAACTCTGGAATCAATTGGTTGCTGTGACCGTCACCATGTTGTTACTTGACTATGAAAATGTTCTGATTCGGTCACTCCTAACGGAGCGGTTTTCTGGGTATTCGCCTCCCCGCGTTTGCTTCCCCTCAGTCTAATACGCATGTTCCTGAGCTGACAGCTTGCTGCTTCTAGAGCCCCGCCAGCATCTATCGACCAGATTGTGTCGGACTTCGATGGCGTGACATTCCATCTATCTACCCCCGAGGCGAAAACAAAGATCCTTATCTCTATCAACGTGAAATGTTTCCGAGAACTGGTCCAATATGGTGCCCAGCAGGTCCTAGAAAGAGAATACGGCCCTTACATTGTTGCCCCCGAGCCGGGCTATGATTTCTCGGTTTTAATCGACTTGGAAGACCTCCCCGATGATCAGACGGCGAGAGAGGACCTTGTCATGCGGTTGGCTTTAATGAAGCGCAACGCAATGGCTGCCCCGTTCGAGAAGGCTTTCGATGAGTTCGCGCAGCTAGCGGAGGAGGCGTCAAGGTATACCTCCGAATCGGCGCCCGCTGGACTTGAAGAGGGTGGAGAGGTCATGACGATCCATTATCGGGAGGAAGAAGCTATCCACATCAAGGCTAGCCATGACCGAGTGACTGTCATTTTTAGTACAGTCTTCCGAGAGGAGACAGACCGCATCTTTGGCAAGGTTTTCTTGCAAGAATTCGTCGATGCCCGGCGACGTGTGTTGACCCTGCAAAATGCACCCCAAGTTCTTTTCAAGAACGATCCTCCTTTGGAGCTGGCAAATGTACCAGGCCTCCAGGACGCTGGCGACGGTAAAGTCAGCTACATTACCTTTGGTACGCCACTTTGACACTGCGGAGAAGTTCTATCCACTAATTGAGAGCAGTTCTTTTCCCTCGTCATTTGACTCCCCAACGACGCCACGAAAACATTTCTCACATCCAGACCTTCCGCGACTACTTCCACTACCACATCAAAGCATCAAAGGTTAGACATATACTCTCTAGCTTTCAAAGCACAATCCGCTGACCCCCCAAAAAAGGCGTACATCCACACTAGAATGCGCAAGCGGACCGCCGATTTCCTCCAGGGTACGTGTCAACTGTCAATTCCAAATTCCAAATTCTTGTATTGCAGACGACATCGTAACTGACAAATGACAGTCCTTAACCGAGCGAGACCTGAGAATGAGGAGCGAGAAAGGAAGACTGCGAGCGGACGTACTTTCAGAGTTCAGGGATAAGAGTGGATTGCAGGGATTGCCTTTGTTTGATTGTACATTGCAGGCTGAAGCACAGAAACGGGGCATCCTGACATGACCAACGAACCATGAGCTTTTCGCAATATCTGTAGGCTGCGATAATAACGAGTGTTTTCTAGCTTCCGCTTCCCTGAGATGAGACGTAGGACTAATCAATTGGAAGAGTATGTTGTGATGGAAAGTATCGAACAGGGGTCGACAGGAAATGATGAGCCCAAAACATTATGTAGTACAGCATCGATACCAAATCGATTCCTGCATTCGACTTAAGTGCATGTTTATGTGACTTCCAGAAAGCGACTAGCCCTGATCCCGTGAAAGCCTAAGCTGATGATACCCATGCCCATGGCGCTGGAATCCATTTATCCCGTGCGCCCCCCGCCGATACACCTTTGGTTTCTTTGTTTGCAACCCCGCCGCCGAAGATTACCCTTTCTTCGCTGCCTTTTTCAGGCCTTATCATTGCACGCCATTCGGAAGTCAGAAACGTGGCGCGACATTTGCCCCAGCGTTTGATTCAATAAGCCAGCCACACTGTCTTTCACGTCTCGCTGCCCGTCGGATCACAAAGGGGGGTGACGCCTGGTCCAAGACATACGTGCACGAAGGACAAAGAAAGGGGTGCGGAGGACTGATGATATTGAGCAGGGGCTTGTTGAGGCAAGCAAAAAGCAATAATACGCATACCTGAATACTATTCCTTCAGCCGCTGCTGACAGTTACTATTTCCGCTTTCTTTCGACAGCTCATTTCCCACACATTGGCGACAATCTTGGGGTCTCGCAAGAAGAGATGATCAGCATTTGTGCCTTGGAATACCTCCCTTGAATGAGATGGAGTCCGACCGATGGACGATCGAAGCAGGGTCTTCGATTGGATGGTTCGTCCCAACATTGTGGTTCAGTGTCGCACGGTTGCTGCAGCGCGATGTTCGCGGCAAGCCTTGCTCAGTCGCTTTCGAATACGATAGGACACGATGGTTCCCCAATCTCCATGTTTTGCTTTCACAGGCTCACAGTCTCGCAGCACATCCCCGCCATTATCTCTTGGTTCGGTCGGAATGTGGACTCCTTGAGAGGACGGTGCGCAAGCCTCGAGGATCCCTCGATCTCGGCCTGCGCCGGCGCCCCGGGAGACTATTTTGAAGCATTTTGACTCGTGATGGAGTCGCTGAGATTGCTGCATGATTGCTTTTGTGAATGTCACTTATCCCATTAAAAAATATGGCTTCCCAATAAAAAAAACATAAAATAACACCCCCTTTCCGCATACAGTCGGATGTGGCTTCAGTCACGCTCCAAAGCCGTATGACGCATTCGTGCATTCATGACCTGTCGGCATACTGATTGCACCTTGCAGACTACCCAGAAATCACTACGGAACAACCAACAACAATTCTGGGCGCTAGAATTGTGGTTGGGCACATTCTGCTCCTGCTGGTTTTTGCATACCGCTAGCTTGAGGGTTGGTCACCAGTCCCATGGTCTTTAAAGGGCCGTGGTGAATCTCCCAAACTTTGATGGATCATATCGAGGCCTTTCTTTTTCCGCTTTCCTTTTTTTTTTTTTTTTTTTTTTTTTGCTTTTGCATCCGCTTTATTTAGGGCTCACGCCGAGCTGGTTATGGCCTTGCAGAATGTTTG